AAAGGCTTGACAGTCTGTTTTTAAATATTTGGTTACACCCATTTCTTTCCATGACATACAAAGTAGCGGAGTCTTTGTCTGCATCACATGTTACTTAAAGATAGATAGGAACTGCCATCTATCTTGCACCATGTCTTTCACGTATAATGTTTCCTGTCTGTCTGAGTACAATGAATGTGCACAAGATCACTGAAGGCATTAAATGCTTCTTCATAGTATTTTTAGACAAGCATGCAACAGTTTAAAATACATAAGCATAGCACACTTTTCTAACACACATGCTCCTCGGATGGTCCCTTTTCCTGAGTTGTGAAGTCGTTCTTCAGACTTTGATGTGTTCATGTACTCTTAAGTCGGAATGTGGAATCAACATGGACGTTACTACAAAGATATGTTGGATTAGCAATAATTTGCTTTACATGGACAAAATTTAACCATTATAACCGAGGGTGCGACAGTTCGGATCGATGCATAGTTTTTTGGGGGTTAAATTTATTTTAAATTGCGCTACTTTGGCTCTCATGACATGATGACAAACAGCCCAGTGTCTCAGTTACACCAGTGAACATGCCTGAACACACAGCTACGAGGTTTCACTAAATGACTCTCTTGAAAGTGACGCTCTACCCTTACCTACTCACTCCACTTCAGAATTAAATGTGTATGTCTTTTCTATCTTTTTACTGCAACTCTGCATTGTGATGTGACATTACGTAGTACGTTGCAATCAATCCACACTTCACCTGCAGGGGGGAACCTGGTTATAACCATATAACAAATCACATGTAAGAAAAATACATGTATGCAATACGTGATTTTGCACGAATCAAAAGTTTCTTACCATCAATCATGTTGTCCGCTATGTTTTACATGTTTGATGTCAACGACTCAGCAACTCATGTACCAAAAATTTCGTCAGCTCAACTACAGCTGATTCATCTTTGACCATATTTCTAAAGATTTTTCATTGATATGGGAGACTGTGTTTTTTTTGTTTTTATAAAATAAGTATGCATATATTAATTCACATTTGAAGGAATGCAAGGTGATCATTAGCAGGACTTGACAGCGAGACAATTTTACTCGCAAATGCCCCTAAAGTGTGAGCACACTGTGCCAGTAAAGACTGCAACCTACTGTAAGGTAGGCAGGCAAGTCGCTCTGCTGCTGCTTGAGTATGGAAGTAAATCATGGCCAAAGGTTTTGGTCATTTGAAAAAAAATGTAATACAAAAAGTAAAAATTTACTAAAAAAAAAAGCTTTTGTCTTAAACTTGAAAAATACAAACATATATTCAAACTAAAAAAATGTGTACCACTTCTTTTTCTTCAGTTTAAATAATAAATAATAATAATATTTAAAATTAATTATTAATTTTCATTTTTAACTTTTATATATTTTGATATTTGAGGACTTATTTTTTCAGTTCCATATAATAAGGTTTTTTTTTTAGAATCAAAGCTATTTTTTTAACAGCTTACATAGTACATAGTACATCTGCATAGTACATTTACACCCAATACATGTCACAGCCAGGAATTTGCTGTGCTGTTATATTGTAGGTGCTGTGGTCCGTCCCTTGCAGGCAACTCATCACCAGGTCAACAAAGTTTAAGCTTGAAACTTGAAGTTGCAAAATAACAGTAAGAAACACAAAACTTGCAGGGGCCTATGCATCCTGTCCTTGCTTATTTAACTAATGTCTGCAGTCTGTAAATGATGACGAATGAGATTCATTACACCAGTAGATGGGGGCCCCAAGTTTAACTTACTTTTTTAGTAAATATCTAGTAAATAAAGCAGTAGTCAAGCATTGTTGGGGAATTGACCCTTCGCTAAGCCATGCCCCAAATACACAGCTGGCCAATCACAGCGCAGTATAGGACTCTCTCTAACTGAGGTCCAACACTTTCATGGCTACGCTCCATTGACTCTAATGCAAAAAGAGTTGTTTTCTAGCTTTTTTTAGCTGTATTTTTCTAAGATATGGTCAAATGCTGTTCCTGGGGCACAATAGTAACAGTTGCTACCCAGAGAGTTTGATAAAAGAAGTATGATTTAGTCACTTTCCAAAACCTAAAATAAATCCAGTAAAAAAGTCAGCTATGGATTGTTCCTAATGTAATGTTAGTTAGCTAACGCTATAACTACTGAATGTAAAGTAATAAAGCCCTACTGTTCTGGTTTTTAATGATTGTAATAATGAATAGAGGCCTACCCAGCTTGACAGGAACAGTGTTGGTCATTAATATCGTTGTCTTTTGTCTCAATCGTCGGGTGATGCGGTTCACTTGTACTGTGCGATTGGTAGGCTTTAGCTTCTATCTTTAATTTTTTTCACGTCCGTTTGAGTCAGTTTGACAGCCTAAATACAACCTTCAAATGTATAATGCAACTGCAAAAACGTCTGCTTCTTTTTTGAGATCGCTTTTTCCAACAAATTTAACAATATTTCTCTGGGGAGTGCAGTAATAAACAGTGGCAGCGCCGACAGTTTGTCGGACTTAGCAACATAGGGGGCGTTTAGCGAAGGGTGAACTGGGAATGGTTGGGTCTGAAAATAATAAACAGAGTACGGTCTGGACTTGCTCTATATGAAAATTGTAATGAGATGACTTATGAATTGGAAGCTTTCCAGAAGGAGACGTGATTCTGACCGTCGTCATGCCTCTCTACCTTCAATTCCACAGCCTCACCAATTGATTTTTAAAAGAATTTAAATAGATAAGGAGGCTATGCATTCCACACGCTAGGTGACACTGCTTGAAATGATCAATCCCCCTCCATGGTGAAACAGTTCCAAACCCAGGTAGGGTCAGATTGTAAGTATAACTACTACACCTCTGTGATAATAACACAGTAAAAGGTTAACTATTTAACCATTTAGAGGCACATAGAGGCCAAATAATTTTCTAGCTGGTAGAGCAGCCTATATGGCACAGAAACGCTTTTTCTCCACTGGAAGCATTAGAGTTATATCTAAGCCTGACTGGTATGAGAAGCTGTTTGGTTTTTAAGACATTCTCCTGTCTCACCATGTTCCTTCTCAACGCTGTAAGCATCTTCATTCAACAGGGCAACTTCTTCCTCCTGAGCGCTGAACCATTAACATCAGTTTACAAGGTTGTCTCACTCACACTAAAATAATTTGCCTGCACAACTCAGGTGTCCTCATTCGTTAAAGAAAAGGAATGCTGCTTTGAGATATTGATTCAAATTAGGTCTCAGGATATACTGTATCAATTTGTCATCAAAGTTTTCACAAATGAATGCTGAGGTCATGAGTCCCTACCACCCATCCTTAAGATTTTATTTTGAGTTTGATAGTTAGTTGTTGTGGTGGCAGCCCAGCTGACGGTGAGTGTCCTGGTTTTATCTCCTTTTTATCAGTTTTTCTGCTTTTTTCCTTGGTTGTCTGTTCTCTGCCTGCCTCCCTGTGTTTTCTCCCCTGTGTGCTCTCTCTCCCTCTGCTCCTGAGCCCAGCCAACGACCTGCACCTGCATCTCATCAGCCACCTCGTCAGCCTGCCACACCTGCCAGTAATCACCTCATGACTGCCTGTATTTCAACCCCGGTTCTCCATGCCACTCTTGCTTGATCGTCGTTGCTCCATACCTGGTGCCACCTCCACGTTCAGGCGCTCATGTTTCTTGTTTTTTCTCACATTTTCCCTGTGCTTTGTCTCTGTTGTCTCTAACCCTGTCTCTCTGTCTGTTTCCCCACTCACCCTCCGTTCAGTCGGCTGGGCTCATCCACCGGTCCTCTCCTCCTCGGACTTCCCCCACGGCGTCCTCCCTGTTCTCCCTCGCTTCCCCGGCTCCCTGGTCCCCAGTCCCCTTGGTTCCCGTGCCTGAGTTTCCCCGGCATCCACCTCTCCCTCCACTCCAGTCCCTCTACCCCTTTTTCCCCTCAATAAACCTCCTTCCCTCTGAGTGCTGCGTTTGGGTCCTCTCTGTCCCCACACCACACCACCCTCATAACAGTTTGTTGTATTTTCTGGAAAGTTTTATTTAAATGTTTTTTATTTAAAATTTCCTGAATACCAGATGTAGTTTTCATCAGAAAATTAAGGGCCAGTAAAAGAAGGCGTAGATTTTTTTTTTTTTGTCCAGTTTGAATGTAGAAGTGCTGTTTCAAAGCCCTCTCCCTCTCTGATAGGAATACAAATAGTAAAACTTTATTTACTGTTAGTATAAGAGTCAGTTCAGCCAATCAGCTTTAAAAAAAAAAAGTTAATTGTAGACTGCAATCTCCCCCAGAGTTGCCAATTTCCCCTAGAAAAAGACTAAAGACTTGATGTCACTGGTTTAAATAGCAGCTGACAGCTGATCAATTCATGGAATACACAGAATAATGCTTTTAATGATCTTACTGTTTGGGGGAGAATAACACTAATTTGGTCCTAACCGCTGGCCACTGCCAAGAGGTAAATTAGTCCACTGATTTTGATGACCTCTTGACCTTTGCTATGGTGCCATTGTTAGTTCAGACAATTGCCAACCTTTTCTCTGGCACAACCATCAGTCCCCACACAAAATATTTAAATTTAAATGGTAGACAAATTTACTGATTCACAATTCTGCATGTTGATCCTTTCCAAATTGTTTAACATTTTATGAGCACATATATGCTTCAGAGGACAACCCTTTTAATTTAGATATTCTAGCATCACCTTCAGGGAAATCTTTACACAGTTAAGTTGTAATTTATTGTTGAAAGCAATGCCACAAATCTAAACACTGTTTTGAATGTGTATTGGGTTGATGTTGGGGTTTCCTGTATAAGTAGTTTTTTGTATTTTCAGGACATTTTAAAATCCTGTACACAGTATGCATTGTCAAGCTGCTTTCTCAAGCTGGAGGGTGGTCGGCTATTTGCACAGTTGTACCGTAGCCTGCATATAGCTGACAGTCTGTGTGATTTTTTTTATTTCTGATATATCAACCCACAAAATATGCACTTCACATATCAACAAAATATAAACACAACAGCCACACAAGAAACAAACAACAAGCTCATTATTTTAAAGTTTGACATTTTGGGAAATAGATTTCTGACTTCAGAGAGCGAATAGGGAGATTTTCCAAAATGTCAAAATATTCCTTTAATATATCTTGTTGGCTTAAATCATGTACATGTCACAGTGACCACTTTCTAAAGTTGGTCACTATTAGATTATCGTGCTTTAGTATGCTTTATCCAAATTATCTGACTCAAAAAACAATTTATCAAGTGTATGATTAATATTTGTAAATTGCTATTGATTTTTTATGCTTATGTTAAACACTATATGCTAATCACTGTATTTCTTATTGGATTGTAAATTTGTAAATGTTTAATAACACGTATGACTCACAATTAACTAAAATTCTTAACTTTGTACTATATGCATCTCTATTGTATGATTTAGGCATAATCAAACTGTTTACGCAGTGCAGTCATATAAATGTGTAAATGTATATGTATTGAATAGACTTTTCAGAATGCACAGTAAGGTAAAGTAAAATTGATGGAATTTTTAATCTACATCTGAATTTCTCAATTAAAGAAAGGAAATATACTGTATTTCATGTAGAAACCTAGTTTGCTGACATGCCACTACCAAGAGCAAGTTACTAGAAGCACCTCTGTCACTACTCTGTCAATTTAACACTTCTATAATGGGCTTCTGAACAGAGACAAATCCAACACAATACACATAAAGTTTATACTAACTTACTAAAGTGTATTTGTCTGTGTAACATATGTATTACACTAAAGCTCAAATTAAATGAAAGCATATAAATAAAAATGGACCAATACAGGTCATATACACAGTTTTTAAATGGGTCAGCCTGTCCACATGTTACAAGCACGGAGACTGTTCTCGGTCCCCAGTCCCTGAAAAATGGACATTCTATAGGCTTCAATAGTTGCTGAGCAAGGGGTTCTCTAAGGGGGCCACTAATTTATTATGTTTGGTCTGGTATAAAAGGAAGGGGTTAAACCAGGGAGGAAGGCAGTTCAGGAGCAACAGCACATCTGCATCCAACATGAGCAACACCAGCATGAACATGAGGGGCAAGGTACTTTTATCAAAAACCTTTTTTCTAATAACCAGAAATGATTTTTTACAAAAACAGCATTTTCACGTTGCTACCTTCATTCTGTAACCATTACAATTCCCCTTTTTTTCCAGATCATCTTCTACGAGGACAGGAACTTCCAGGGTCGTTCCTATGAGTGCATGAACGACTGTTCTGACATGACCTCCTACCTGAGCAGGTGCCACTCCTGCAGGGTGGAGGGCGGCTGCTTCATGGTCTACGACCGTTCCAACTACATGGGAAACCAGTGGTTCATGAAGAGGGGCGAGTACGCTGACTACATGAGCATGATGGGATGGAGAGACTGCATCAGGTCTTGCCGTATGATCCCCATGGTAAGTAATAATATAATTGTGTTTGTTGGACAGGGTGATCACTAATATCATACAATATTATACTATTCTCTATTATACAAGACCTTTCATGACTCCTCGCTGATAACCTTCAAACTGTTTTTACAGCACAGAGGCCAGTTCAGGATGAAGATCTACGAGAGGGAGAACTTCGGTGGTCAGAGTTACGAGATGATGGACGACTGTGAAAACATCATGGACCGCTTCCGTATGTCCGACTGCCAGTCCTGCCACGTGATGGACGGCAACTGGCTGGTGTACGAGCAGCCCCACTACAGAGGCAGGATGATGTACATGAGGCCCGGAGAGTACAGGAGCTTCAGGGACATGGGCATGAGTGGCATGAGGTGGATGAGTATGAGGCGCATCATGGACTCTTGCTAATAAATGCTCACTAAATCGTCACTGAACGTATCAAATGCTACTGAATAAAGCAATTGCTGAACTACTTTTTTACTCTACTGACTTTTGTCGAGCTTATTGCCCAACTGTTGAATATTATATACCATAAAATATACAATTGTCATGATCTGGCTGTACTACCCTTTTCAGTTCCTGGCGTTTCCCCTGCATTCCCCCTCCTGTGTCTCTGTCTGTCTTCTGTCTGTCATCTGTGTGTCTGTGTGTGTGTGTGAGACTTGGTGTGGTGATCCGATTTCTCTCTAGGCAGACCAATCAAGCAACCACCTGCGACTTTTCTGCACACCTGAAGGGCCTTTCTCATTTCCCAAATTTCTGTCTTAATGTCATTTCACTTTTTCTGTGTTCTTCTGCACACCCAAAAGGTCTCACACACAGTCCAGTTTCATTCAGTAAATCTGTTTGGAGTAAAGCAGCTGTCCTCCTGAGCCCCACCAGAGTCTAAACATGGATAATAGAAGCTGAAAGTTTAATTCTGTTTCCTCTGTTTCCTCTCTCTGTCCTGCCATGTTTATTACTGCAGGTTTTTTTCTGTTTTGTCCCATGATATTTGCTGTGACATTACTGCACGGATGGAAACGTTTAAATGACAACAACAGCCTCCCTAATCACCAAACTAAATTGTTAAAGATAACACTCATAGTAGCTACAACACACAAGAAAGAAATCACCTGGAAAGCTACAGGGTCTCTAAATTAGTTGGTGGGGGCAGGTTGATGATTTAGATATGTGCGTATAGGCCTATATGAGTTCCGTTAATGTCCAAGCTGATCCGCGCATCACACATGACAAAACAGTGCAAAGAGCTGCTGAAGTCAAATTATTAGGCTGTAATATCAATCAGAGCATTCAGCAATGATCTGCTGTGTACATGTTTCATAATAGTGCCAACAGTAGAGTACTGAGATGAACTGGGGCTATATGACATGAATGTTGCTGTGTCATTTCGGAAAGGGACTGATGATGAAACGCTCACCTCATCAGGCTGAGGGTTGAAATGATCTCCTGTTTACAGGCAAAAGGCACATCGCAAAAAAAGTAGTAGCCTACTGTGTAGCCTAGTTAATGATGAAGCTGTTATGATATAATATATATAATGTTTATTGAAATCCTGAGATGTTTCTACATGTTAAAATGTTGACAGACATGTTTCTGGATTGTGAAGATATGATCTGTAGCCTTTAGTGCCAAATGCTGGTCTGCTGCTCTGACAGAGATCACAGCTTAAACAGTGGACAGATGATGCAGCTGTACAACAGGTCATATTTAATTGATGTTGCTTTAAAATGACGGATCCGAGGAAAGGACATCTCATTTCCTTAAATGCCCGTTTCCTTGACTCCTCTCTACTCGCGTCTCCTCCTCAACTCCTCGAGCTCGCATATCGGGTGGGAGAGACTAAAACGCGTCGGGAGGAGTCGAGGAGTTGAGGAGGTGGAAATTTGGGAAATGAGAAAGGCCCTGAGTCATCCCACAATCAAGCCCTTCAGTTCATAAACCCTGGCTCTGCACTTCGCCAGTTCACCTCAAGTGGTATTGATGACCAGACTTTGAATTTGAATAATGATTTTTGCTGCCTGACCCTTCCCTGACTCCTTTGCTTGTGCTACAGGTGATTAGTTCTGGAGAAGGAGAGCTCCATTGCACACACATCACACATCACATCAAAGGCAACATCCACAACGTGCTTAGTGAGCATATTGGAGGGTCCAGCTCTGCCAATTAAGTTAAGTTAGTTAGTCCTTTTTTGACGGGAATGTTTGCATGACTGAAAAATATGCATATGATCTGAGTTTAACTTTTCGGATGGAATGCATTTTAACTGTGTCTACCTTCTATATAAGAACACAGTAAATAAGGCAAGAAAAAGGAGAACTGAAACCAGATAGAATGTTGCTTGACACATACACACAATCAACTTAAAGTATCTGCCTGGAGATGGGTTGCACGCCACTTGCACTGAAGGTATAAAGGTCAGACTCACACATAGTGAGTTGTTCTTCTTGATGCTGCCTGATGCTTGATTAACCTAAATGCATTTGCAATAAACAGAGGCTTGTGACTACAATTGTCTCCGACTACTTGATGAAGTAAAATTGATCTAACAACTTGGGGGCCATTGACTCACTGACAGAGAGGACTGGAGGTGACAAGATTCATTAGATACAACGGAGAAATAACTATGGTCAGTATTGTTTGATTTTGGGATTACTGAGAGTTCACTGGGAGAACTGAAAAGGGATACCAAGGTTACCAAGGGAACAGCCATGGGCTGAAGTACGAGTGTGACAGTCATATCACACTAAGTATCCTATTCTATCAGAATAGGTAATTGTTGTTGTAAGAGGGAACTGTCCCTGATTTCAAATACATTTCAAATGCATTTTTCAGAAACACTGCGATAGAGCAGAACAGAAATTGGGTAAATGGTAAAAGAAATATAGATTTCTATGCAATGAAAGAAAAATTTCAGCCCCAGTACCTATTGTTGTTGACTGTGAAACAGGGCGTGAATCCAACAACAGATCATTGTCTCACCCAGTTGCCCAGCTGACTTGCTTGAGACGTGATGTCAGCCTATCAAATGATCAAGTGATGTCAAAATATCAAACACCTATTTGAGACTGACATTTATCCTGGGACATAGATGGCTATGCAGGAGTACATGTGCATGTTCGTGTGCATTGGACAAAGATGATAAAACGATTTTGAGAGGTAATAATATTTCTGTCCAAACCACCAATCAACCACCAATCACCAAGAGGCAGTGAGGTTCTACTTTATGTGGATGACATCCTTTTATGGTCAGAAAAAAAATGGTAACGGTGTTACCAGGACATTATAGCACTGTTACAGTTTCTAGCTCAGGAAGGCCATAAAGCTAGTAAATTGCAGATTAAGTATCTACGTTATGATATTCCAGCAGAAGGAAGAGAGCTTTATGATGCAAAGAAAAGGCAATTCTAAAGGTACTAAAGCCACAGACCAAAAAACAAATGATGTCATTCCTTGGGATGGCTAACTTCTGTAGATCCTGGATCTTTGGATATGCAGAACTAATTTATGGCAACTTAATGGCTGCACAAGACAAAATCTAGCTGACAAAATGCATTTGTCAAAACAAAACGAGTGTTAGTAAACTCATCTGTGCTTGGATTACCTGTTACTTCAAAACAGTTCATACATACTGTTGACTAAAAATAAATTCATGACCTGTGTTGCTGGAATAACATGGCTGTAAACTGAGACCTGTAGCTAAGCTAGATACTGTTACACAGGCAATGCCATCTTGCTGGAAAGCTGTGATAGCTGAGCTATATTGAGCCATGGTGTAACACATGTCTCAAAAGGAAGGATTTTATAGGGTCATCATCATGGGAGGGCAAGACGTATTGTCTGGTAATTGTTGAACAATTTTCAAATTGGGTTGAGATTTTCCCCACAGCCAAAGCAGATGCAATGACTGTTCCAAAAGCACTTATGAGGGATATTATTCCAAGGTCTGGAATACCACAAACACTATACAGTGATAATGCTGCACATTTTGTAAATTAAGTGATAAAGCACTTAATCACTGTGCCTATCATCCTCTATCAGCAGGAACTGTGGAAAGAACAAGATGGCTCAGTGACCAAGGCACTTGAAGGACTATGGTCATTGCGTGAAGAACTGGCTGAGAACTCTGAGTGAACACTTCCTTGTCTGGTTGGTTTGACTCTGTATTTGGCAAATGGAAAGCCCCAGTAATGTCACTCTTAACTGCATTCATAATCTGTTGCTGTGTTCAGGTGTTTTTGGACTGTACTGACTGGGATGTTTTCAGAACTGGATGAGTTCACAGAAGCTGTGCTACATCAGCTTCTCTGAGGACAGCTGTGTATGCATGCACCAGAATGATTTATAGGAACGACAAACCCTGCTTCACAGCTAAATTCAGACATCACATCTAAGATTGGAAAAGGAAGTAGGGGCCTGGGGCCTTCAACAATGCCCTGAGGCTTCCCCCTTACCCACTGCCAACCTCTCCATCTTGGAAAAAGATGTCAACAGACAGAACCCCTGCAAAGCAGCTGGGCCAGACTCTGTCGCTCCCATCCACCCTGAAGCAATATGCCGATCAGCTGTCTCTGGTGTTCTTTATCTTAATCTTTAACACCTCACTGGAAACATGCTATATGCCAGCCTGCTTCAAATCCTTCACCATCATCCCTGTCCAAAAAACCAAGGACCAGAGGACTAAATGACTACAGACCGGTCTTCCGCTCACTTTAGGAAAGATTGGGGCTGACCCCTCCCACCCTAGACACAAACTGTTTCAAACACTCCTCTCTGGCAAGAGGCTACCTCACAACACAAGTACATATTCTTCTTTCCATTTTCCATTCACAGCTAGAGTTTTACATTTGTCGCACTGTGTGCCTGTCTGCTCTGTTTAGTTAATTCTCAGTCAGTTTTGTTATTTTAGTCTATATTGTTCTGTATCTGTTATTTAGTCTGTGTTTCAGGTCAGGTCTCTCATCATGTTTCGCCTTGTTCATTATTGTGGGAATGTTTGTGTTCTCATTCTGTTTTCTTGTCTTACTACTTAGTCTTGCGTTTTAGTCCTGTGCCTTAGTTCATGTCTTATTGTTTACTCCTGGGCCCTGTTTCAGAAAGCGGGTTTAGTGAAAACTCTGAGTAAGTTGAGCCCGAGATGAGGGAAACACTGGGTTTTCGGTTTCAGAGAGCGAGATCTGATAAACTCTAGGTCTGTAACCCGGCAACTTACGCTGTGAACCTGACCTGCTCGGGAGGAGGTTTACTTCAAATAACACTGAGTTTCTCTCTGACTCCTCCCCTCCTGCGGAGCCGGAAGCGGCTGTCTCACACACCGTGTCATTTCCTCAATTATACTGTCGATATCAAAGCACATATTGGAACACAATTACGTCTTTAGAAACATCGAAATCACGGTTAAATAGGCTATTATTATTATTATTATAATTTTTTACCCAAACATGATCTTGAACATAACGCTTTTATGATCAATCTATCATCAAGGTATGGACAGAGTGTTGGACATCATAAATTTATCCTCAGCACAGAATAAAATCTATAAAATACACTGTCCTTTATACCACGGTGACTCTGTGGACATTAGGGCAAAACACTTACCGCGCGCTACAGTGCTGCAGTATTCACTGTTTAAAGTAGGTAATCTGTATAAAACTGATCAATGAACAGTAGGCCTAACCTTTCATATTGTAGTCGCACTGATTGAACAGTCCTATCGTAATGATCAACTGGATATTATGTGAATATTTCTGTGTGAGGATGACCGTGGTGCAGCTGAAACAAATAAATGTAGATTAAAAGTGAGTTTTTCATTATCTGCTGATAGTCTGAATGTGTTTTGACAGCATTTCATAAAATACAAAATGAGCAAGATTTAATTAATGGAACATAGACATCTAAAACTTCAGTCAGTTTGAACCTAGACACATTTTACATTGCAAAAAAATCATTAATAGATCTACTGAGTCAGACTGTCACTTTACAATCACAGGTCCATGAGTAACCTAAACTATGTCTAATCTGTTCCATTAATATTTTCATCTTCAGTTATTGCCACCGGCATTTAGTCCTGTCAGGTTCCAGCTGAATAAATGAATATTTATTTATTTAAAATGAATAACATGCTGTAGGAGAATTCCAGCACTTTATCAATCATTCAGGAAATTCCAGTCTGGTAAATGGTGAATGAGCAACGCTTTATAAAATGTAATTTTGTTAACTTATCTATCTTGCATTTTTGGAGCCAATCATTGTCCGCGTTGGCATGCATTCATATTTCTAGCTCCACCTGATTAAAATGGAGGCTCTGCCTTTATTTAACCGTTGCCATGGTGAATCGTAGTAGTATCAGGCCACTGGTGTATTTGAACTGTTATTATTTGGATTACCTGGACTCAGCCACTCATTTTAAGTGTGCTGGCTTTGAGTTTGTTAATAAACCTTTCTGAACTGAACCTGCTCTGTGTCCTGCGTTTGGGTCCTCCAAACTGCTCAACCCTACAGACCTGTGACAACATTATCCAATCAGGAATATCATTTCAATATTTACTCACGGATCACGGTAACGTTAGGTTGGCCAGACACTCAAATAAGATCATTAATCCGTTAAATCAGATAAACTCCTGATAAATAGTTTACTGGAATAACGCTGGAGACCAAAATATTTAAATATGAGTCTACAGGAGGTGGAAAATGAAGTTGAGTTCCTGAATCTAACTTCAGCAGTGTAAGTAGCTGAATGCCTTTTAACTCATCTTCATGTTAATATTGTTTGTCTGGCTACGAAGACAACATCCTTTCCTGTACTGATTTTAAATAAGATTGGTGATGTCAGTGTTATGTTGCTAAGCAATGAACATGACACTGTATTATAAAAGTTTACTTCAGTCCTGGAGCAGAGAGATAGATGTGACCCAGACGCTTCATAGAGATGATGAGCATACTGTCTGTGCCTCCTCTGTCTGTCTCTCTCTCTGGTTTAGGTCAGGCAACATGAAAAATAGGTGATTAATTCCCACAGTCTGGCAGTGCTGATGAAGTTATTAGTTTTTCTCTGTTGCTTTGGCAATATCATCAAAAGAATTATGTTGATGCTCAAAACACTGTAGTATATCTCACATCTCATTTTCTCACATGAGTAGATGCATTTCACACTGAGTTTTAAGTGGACATATCTTTAGTTGACCTAGGAATTCATTGAGTTATTCTTGGTGATCAAAATGGATCAAAATTGTATTGAGCAGTTGCATTAAGGCATATTTAAACTTTTTTGTAATTTCAATAGCTTGCTCATTTCTGTATCTATTGACATAATTAAGATAATAGGTCATTGATAAACAGCCTTGCGATGGACTGGCAACCTGTCCAGGTTGGACCCTGCCTTTCGCCCGATGTCAGCTGGGATTGGCTCCAAAACCCTTTCAAAATAAAACAGAAAACCATAGCTCTCAAAATGACAAGGGCTTTGATCAAGCAGAAAAAAATATATGAAGGAGATATAGCTAAATAAAATAAATAATTAATGTATTTACTTAAAAACATGTAATGTTGTGGAACATGTGTCATGCCTTCATGTTTTTTGCAGTAAACATGAAGAAAACAACACTGGAACACCAAATTTACCGTTACCAGTAGTATTCAGTATTTTACCTTGGTTATTCCTTTTGCTCAGTAAATACTTGTAGTTTGGGAGAAATTATACATTTATGATTTATTACCCTGGAGACCATTATGTGCCAATCTCAAATTACTCCTTTAATCTCTTGTCATCTTATTTCATATACATGTCACAGTGACCAATTTCTCAAGTTGGTCATTAGATTATCTGGCTCAGTATTTTATCCAAATGATGTGGCACAAATATCCAAATGTATCAACAAGTGTATGATTAATATTCAGAAATTACCATTGATTTTTTTATGCTTTTGTTAAACACTATGTGCTAAACAAGGTATTTCTTTTTGGATTGTATATTTGTAAATGTTTAATAATGTGTATGTTATAGGATGAAAAGTGATATGAATAATAATAATAACTTATATGAATCTCTGTTGTATAATTTAGGCATCTATAAAACAGTTTAAACAGTGCAGTTTTAATATCTCTGCAAACTGGTTTCTTGATGGTTAGACTTTTCAGAATGTACGTTAAGGTAAACTGTTGTTCTACCTTTGACTTTTACAATCAAAGAATGGAAATGTATTGTACTTCCTGTGTAGAACCTAAATATTTTTTCTTCATGCAGTTCTCAGTTTCTGCTGAAATGCCAAGAAGTAGTTACTAGAAGCACTTCAGTGGCTATCACTCTAGAAACTCCTATAAAGGGTTTCTGAACAGAACCAAACCCAGTAATTGACACAAGACACATAAAGCTTATTCTAATACTGAAGTGTATGTGTCTGTGTAACACATGTATTGCACCAAAGCTAAAATTAATACAGGTCATATACACAGTTTTTAACAGTCACATGGGCCCGCCTGTTCACATGTTACACTGAGACAAAAGGCCTTTCTAAAGACTGTTCTCGGTTCCCAGTCCCTGAAAAATGGACATAACCTCTGCATTCTATAGGCTTCAATAGCTGCTGAGTAAGGGGTTCTCTGAGGGGGCCACTGACTCATTACGTACGGTCAGATATAAAAGGAAGGGGTTAAACCAGGGAGGAAGGCAGTTCAGGAGCAACAGCACATCTGCATCCAACATGAGCAACACCAGCATGAACATGAGGGGCAAGGTACTTTTATTAAAAACCTTTTTTCTAATAACCAGAAATGATTTTTTACAAAATGAGGTCAGCATTTTCACGTTGCTACCTTCATTCTATAACTACAATTCCGTTTTTTTCCAGATCATCTTCTATGAGGACAGGAACTTCCAGGGTCGTTCCTATGAGTGCATGAACGACTGCTCTGACATGACTTCCTACCTGAGCAGGTGCCACTCCTGCAGGGTGGAGAGCGGCTGCTTCATGGTCTACGACCGTCCCAACTACATGGGAAACCAGTGGTTCATGAAGAGGGGCGAGTACGCTGACTACATGAGCATGATGGGATGGAGAGACTGCATCAGGTCTTGCCGTATGATCCCCATGGTAAATAATAATATAATTGTGTTTGTTGGACAGGGTGATCACTAATATCATACAATATTATACTATTCTCTATTATACAAGACCTTTCATGACTCCTCGCTGATGTAAACTCTCAAACTGTTTATACAGCACAGAGGTCAGTTCAGGATGAAGATCTACGAGAGGGAGAACTTCAGTGGTCAGAGTTACGAGATGATGGACGACTGTGACAACATCATGGACCGTTACCGTATGGCCGACTGCCAGTCCTGCCACGTGATGGACGGCAACTGGCTGATGTACGAGCAGCCCCACTACAGAGGCAGGATGATGTACATGAGGCCCGGAGAGTACAGGAACTTCAGGGACATGGGCATGAGCGGCATGAGGTGGATGAGCATGAGGCGCATCATGGACTCTTGCTATTAAATGCTCACTAAATCTTCACTGAACGTATCAAATGCTACTGAATAAAGCAAGTTGCTGCACTACTTTGACTTTTGTCGAGCTTATTGCCCAACTGATAATATTATATACACTGTAAAAAAATGCCTGTGAAATCCGCAGTAATTTACTTTGTTTGTGCAGAGTAAGTTACAGTATACTAATACACAGTATCATATTGTGTAATCAAAGAGTTATTGTGAAAATCACAGTAATCAGGATGCTACCCTATTCAGTCACAGTTGTATGATCAGATGATCGTTGTATTGTAGATAATCACAGTAACCATTAGTGTGCTGTGAAAATCACAGTTGTCAATTTAATACCATAGATAATCACAGTAAATGTACTGTACAAAACACAGTATCCAATTTTGTACTGCGATAATCACAGTAAATAACAGTGTCATGCAAAAACAAATCACAGATATTGTCCTCAGGACAGTACAGAGGGAAAAGTGCAAATGCTTTTTCACTACATGTTGACTTTTGTGGTCTAAATATTTTTCGATATATGGATCTTTGTCTCAAATACAGTAATGTTATCAGACCCCACTTATTGCTGTTTGTGGTTAGATCTATTTATTTATACGTAAAGTATTTATATAATTATTTGTATCTGTAAAATGGTTGTGTTTAAAGTAAGTGGCAATCCAAAATATTAATGCAGATATATAGTGCAAAGGATACTTTGGATTAAATCTATTGTTATTTCTATTAGGATTAAAACAATTTGGCTGATTTAAAAAAATTTTCTCATTATTTTATGATTAATATATGAAGCAAAGATGAAGAGTTTATGCAGCATTATCAAGCCTGGGTAGCCTACAAACACCCAGTCTCACACTGCAAAACATAGGTTTACAATGACAGCTCTAAAAGGGTGTGGTCATGTTTGGCGTCCAATTCACTTGACTCTCAAGTCTCCTGCGTGAGAACAAAAAACATGGCGAACATTTCTCTCATTTGCCTGCTGAATCCCACCGGTAACCAGCAAAAGGCTGTGACAGCAGTAGACCTGTGGGGGGCAGCAATGTGCCAGCAAGGCATCTAGTCTTCCAGAAAGGTGACCATCGTGCCAATTTGTTTAGGCCTTTAGGAATTCTGAGTTTAAAGTCAGAATTCTGAGTTTAAAGTCAGAATTCTGAGAAAAAAGTCAGAATTCTGAGTTTAAAGTCAGAAGTATGGGTACCTGTAAAGGTCCCATGTGAGAAAATCACTTGCATGATATAAATTAGCGCGGGAACCACACACTGACCGAAGATGTTGGATTTAAGTGAGTTTTTACGTGTTCGAGGGGTCCCAGATGAAGCCATTTCATTACTGGAAGAACAAAAGGTCAGTAAAAATGAAATATGTGTTAGTTTGTTGCATGGTGTTTGTAAAAACAAAGAATTCCAAGTTTAAAGTCAGAAGTATGGGTACCTGTAAAGGTCCCATGTGAGAAAATCACTTGCATGATGTAAATTAGCGCAGGAAACCCACACTGACCGAAGATGTTGTATTTAAGTGAGTTTTTACGTGTTCGAGGGGTCCCAGATGAAGCCATTTCATTACTGGAAGAACAAAAGGTCAGTAAAAATGAAATATGTGTTAGTTTGTTGCATGGCGTTTGTAAAAACAAAGGAAATTCAAGTCAGAATTCTGAGATTAAAGTCAGAATTTTGAGAAAAAAGTCAGAATTCTGAGAAAAAAGTCAGAATTATGAGATTAAAGTCAGAATTCTGAGTTTAATGTCAGAATTCTGAGAAAAAAGTCAGAATTCTGAGTTTAAAGTCAGAAGTATGGGTACCTGTAAAGGTCCCATGTGAGAAAATCACTTGCATGATGTAAATTAGCGCGGGAACCACACACTGACCGAAGATGTTGTATTTAAGTGAGTTTTTACGTGTTCGAGGGGTCCCAGATGAAGCCATTTCATTACTGGAAGAACAAAAGGTCAGTAAAAATTAAATATGTGTTAGTTTGTTGCATAGCGTTGGTAAAAACAAAGGAAATTCAAGGGGATGAAGGATGTGTAATGCAGGGACGAGTTAGCTAACTTAGCTAGTAGTAGCACGTTTTGATAGCTAATATGGTAGCTAACAAGAATATTGGCTGTTTTTTGTGTTGTTGACATTTTGGTTATATTATCATATTTTCAAACATGGCCCTAATCCTCTTCCGCAGGTTTACGTGCGTATGTCTATGTGATTGCGCGGTGCGTAAGCTAGTTCACAGGTGGAAAGCTGTGGTGGATAACAATGGTTGTGAACGTGGTCTCCTTGGACGGTTTCAAATTCAGAGCTGTGCAACGGAGTGATTTTATGGTGGTGCAACAGTCGAGATCCAGAGAGAAAACTCTGAAAAGTGATCACAACTCACGGGTCTGTGTCTTTTGTTGCTAAAAACATCTGTTTTAATAAAATAGACAAACGGAGGGTGCTTGCTCTGGCATTGTTTGAAGGTGAGAGGTGTACAAACAAGCAGGAGACAGGGAAAGGGAGATCCCTGTGGGTACATGAGACCCTCAGAAAGTCTCCTGACAATGGGCCCGTCTCTCCATTCATTTGATTGGACAAGGGAGAAAAAATTGGATGGTACGAAGCTGTGTCACAGGTTAATCTGGGCGCTCTGCTGCAGCTAACAGCGTCTCCACTTTGCAGGCCATCTGAGCGTCAAACACCTCAGCCTTTTCCCTTATGCAAGCAAGAACACATTAAAACTGACCGTGGCACAAATCAGACAGACAACATGAAGATGTGGACGGTTTATTGACGTTTTGCAGTGTTTTGAACAGCGACACAGTTACCTCCATGATCACGCTCAAAGTCCTCGCTTTGAACTAATTTGCAGGTGGGAGAGGTCCCTGTGAATCATCGTGCAGCTAACGATGTAGCCTGCAAACTACACTCAGAAGCATATATCTACATAACGATATATAACGTAGATAAACAAAGTTATCAGAAGTATTTCCTGGTTTGCAGTCAATTTGGCCACGCCTACAGAACATCTGGGACTATCACCAGTTAATTTTGCCACCAGTTAAACTGTCACACCGGCGCTTTTCTGCTCAGAGTTGAAATTTTGTTGAAAAAACTTTTTGAGCTCAGAGCACTCCTTCCAAAACAGCCTGCAAAACACTCACTGCCAGTTGAAAGCAATTAAAAAAGGCGCTTCTGCAAAAAAAAAAAAGTATTCTGTCTGATCGGGGCCTTATAAATTAAGATCAGTAGCAATCCTAACATACCTTATCAAAATATCACGTGTTCGTCTTCTGTTCAGCACATTTGGCATGTTAAACCAGTCAGGTGATTCTAAATATTAACTTCCATTTTCACTTCTACTAGGTTCCTGGTCAGGATTAATCCTGACTCCAGCAAATGCAGTGCCAAGGTCCACAGAAGGAACAATAAGGCAGAAGATGTCATACATGATCCTACGCATCATCAGGGACTTCACAGAGTTTTATTGGCAAATAACTAGATGGAGGTGAGGATGTGATAATAATGTGTCCTTGAAAGATTTTCCTCAAGTGGTATTTTTCCATTAAGATATATTCGGTTTGTATTAGTCCAAGTTTTGAGACCTTAGTCTCAGTAATATCTTTTCAAATTGCTTTCACTGTGTCCCTGAGACTATGGATAATCTATCCATAACACACCTGAGACAGTGTTCATTGGAACTACTTTCACTGAAGAAATGGTCTTTATATAAATCTTTGGCAGTGAAGTGGGAATTTTCAAAATTTTTGGGTGGAGTTGAGCAAGAGAAAAGGGGGAAAAATCACTCACAAGGGACAATATGTCTGACAATAAGTCAGTATTTAATCCTACAAGCAGTACGTACAACGAATAAGCTGCACAACATAGGAATAATTTATGGTGAGTAGTAATGACCGCTGAGTACTCAAGGATTAGAGTGTTGACATGCTGACAGGAATCACAGCAAGTATATTCCCATTACAGTATTGTCGTGTTACATGAATAGTTGGTATTCAATATTAAATAATATAATAAACCCCCCTTTGTCAAGCTGCCTTGGGTACCTTGAAAGGCTCTATATAAATTTAAGTTATTATTATTATTTATTATTATGTGTGGGGCAGACCATCTTCGGAATCGGCCTTCATTTTTGAGCTCAATTATACACTTGTAAGGTTTTATAGCTGCATCTTTCAGGATTGTGATGCTATCATGGTGACAAAATCTGTCCAAAAACACACATATTACAAAATGAGTTTGTGTTGTAGTTTCTGCTACTGTAGGTGTCTCTAAGATCATATTTTGCCACAATGAGGCAGACAAACTCACAATTTGAAAACAATACCAGCTACGACAGATAAAATGGTTGAATAACCTGTAGCGATATTAAATGGACCATGGGGCCAAGTTATGAAAGACCGAAGTGTTAGTGATCTTGGTACTGCCAGCAGTTTTTTTGCTACTCCCAATCCTATGGAGAGATCTGAGTCTTTCTGTCCGAAAACCTGTCATGTGCAAGGGTCAGGGCTATAGCTCCCACTTCCTGTCCCTCACTCCTATGGAGAGGAGGGAAGCAGAGTGTCACTTCTCGGGGCCCCCCGAGGAGCTGGGGCAGCGAGACGGCGCTCTCACCCTCAGCCGTCTGAGAGACGCGATCTGAGGACCGTCATCCAGTCCCGACGGAGCTCAGGGAAGACCGGGGTAGGGGAGTCTTTCTCCCCCGCACCCCCCCCACCCCCCCGGAGGCCGACCGAGGTCCCCTCCGCCGTGGCAACAGGTGATGTTATCCCGCCGTTTACACGTTCAGGACGCACCTGCCACCATCGAGTCCGCGCCGTACTGCCTGCGCCGAGGGTCTGCAGGCGGACGGCATCCCGACTCACTCACCGTGGATCTTCGGCGGCTCCCCCTGCCGTTCTGGGGCTTCAGGGGTCCACCAGAAGATCACACGAGACACCGACCACCAGCCCCGAGGGGCTGGTTCCGTTGGCAGACTTTGCAGACGCTTGGCGGAGCCTGACGA